AGCTGAGAGTAGCAGAACACTTTCAAAGTGGAGTTGTTATACTCCTAGGGACCTGAGCAGAATTGTAACAGCTTCACCGGGGAAGCCCTCCCCTGCCCAAACAGAGCTATTGCACTGGGGAGCCTTTCCCTGGAGCAGGGCTGTAAGCTGCTACACTTACTGTGACCTGTGGTATTCCTTGGCTCCCAACTGCCAGAATACCCTTCCACCCGAGCTGTAACACTTAGTATTCTGTGGCTCCTGAGTGCCAGAATCCTGCCACAATGCTTACAATAGACAGTCATAAAAAAGAAATATAGTTTTAAAATAATGAAGTCCTTAAAAAGGGAGTAGAATGACATTTAAAAAAAAAGCTACACAAAGATGGAAAATACAGAGTATTATTGTGTTGTCTTAAAACTTTTTAACTGCTAAGAGACCTCGGATTATGAAAGCTGCTAGATTAAACCAACCTATATATTAAACAATATCTTAACATCAACATTGAGTCGAAAGATATGTCACTTTTGAAAGAGGTTCTGCTTTATTTCTACAGGAAATGAGAGGCTCTGGGATCATTCTGAGTTAAGAAAAATAAGGTTTGATAGAGGAAGATCTGCTGAAAAATATGCTGGGAATGGATGGCCCAGATGACACCACATTTCAGGGCATCTCTGTTGCTGTTTCCTCTGAGTTCTGCATCCAGAACAGCTTCAAAGCTGTTGGCTGAGATGATCCAGCCTCACAGAATACTCCAGTGAGCACTTGACCATAATCCTACATTTTCTCAGGGTCCCCCAAAGATTACCAGCACCTCTAATCAACAGGAAGTAGTCTAGAGAACTATGCCCACAGTTCCCAAAAATGGATTATGGATGTTTGTCTTTGTTTAGGGGGTTGATTACAAATTGTTATTGGTTATTGTCAAAAATAGGCTAAACAAAAGAGAAATTCAGATCTTTTTCTAAAAGAAGGGGATTCGATACCGAAAAGATGGGATAAAGGGGTAGATTACTGAATCTACTTTAATCCAAAAAAAACTACTATTAATCTTACATATTTTACAATGGTATGGATTTTGCGACAAATTTAAAGTTAATTTTGTTATACTGTTTGTATGTTTCTACTCCTGCTTAAGGTATTGTGTTTATTCAGCTCATTTAAATTGTAAAGTATAATTAAGAAATACAGATTAACAGTCATCTGTAGTACTCAAATTTATAGTCATGTAAGGTATGTTTTCAAGGTCATACACAGACATACGTAGATTGATAGATGTTCTTCACTTCAAAAACCTACAGAATATATGGCATTTAATGTGCTTACTAACCCAAGGCTTAGGAAGAGTGAGACAGGGCTGCTTCTGGCAGCACCAATCTACATCAGGGAAAATGATGCTACTGAAGGAACTCTGCATTTCACCTCCTTTGCTGGCAGGATACTGTCCAACCGGACCAGCAGAACACAACACAGGAGGCTGCTGAACTTTGCCAAGACAAGGCAGGAAGGTCCTTCAAAATTCCCTGCTCCACAGAAAAGTCTGTCCTATATTCAGGCTGGATGCCCCAGTTTTGCAGAGGAACCAAGGGGAACTGCCCAGACAGCCTGATGTCCCTGTCATCAGGTCACATTTCACCCTTCTGGGGTCTTTGATGGAGTTGAACACTAGATAGCTGTAGTTACAGTTTTCCATAATTATAATTAAAAAGGTGAATTAGATGTAAAACTTTAGAGTCACAAAAATAAAATAGGTAATAGAATGTTTTCTCTAATTTTGGTGAATACAAACAGACTGGATGTTGTAACTGTAATTCTTACTTGATAACTGTTTTGTTGCATATAATCTTACTGTTAAAGTTTAAACCTTCCTTTTTGACAAAAAGGGGGAAATGCTGCAGGATAATCCTCGCGTACAGTATAAAAATTTGTCACACGAATCGGTTTAATAAAACACTGATTGATAGCCCAGTAGCCAGGCAGAAGGTGTAGGTGGGCACCCACACTAAGGATGATGGAAAGGAGAAGGGTAGAGTCGGAGGAGTCACCAGCAGACACAAAGGGAAGGGATGAACATGGCATGTTAATAAAGATACCACCACATGGCAGAGCGCAAATAAGGAATAGTGGTTAACTTAAAATGTAAGAGTAGTTAGTAATAAGCCTGAGCAATTGACTGAGCGTTTAATTAAGTCTCAGTGTGTTTATTTGGGAGTTGCTGGTGGGATAGAAACTTCTGTTTACAGCCAATCAATTGCCTTCGCTAACAAATTCAGAGTATGGGTACCCAAGCAGTTTTTTGGTCCCTATTGTGCAAGTTTCCTTGGCGATTAAAACACTCTATCCTGCAGGAAACTCCTTAAGCAGAAGATAAACAACTCAGAATAGCTTCAAGAAATCCTTGAAACTGACCAGATTCAGCAGGCTCCTCCCTGAGTCCCCTTTCAGAAGAGCTGAGTCATCCTGCAAAGAAGACTGACACCCCCCCTACCCCCTACTGAGTTGCAAAGATTCTGAGAGACCAGACCAGATGTCTGCAAGAAGCAGAAACCAGCAGAGCTGCCTGGGAGAGGTTGAGACCAATTGAGGTGCCTGAAAAAAAAGACACTCTCCAACCTGTTCAGCCACCTGCCAACTGTGCAGTTTTTTGATCTGTCACTTATGCTGGGGTTGGGTTCTAATGATGCAGCTGTGTTTGAGTCCTTACTGCTCCCATGAGTAATTCCTCACCCACATTCCTGTAAGTAGCCCCAATAAAACTCATTCGTTAAGCAAGCTGGACTTTAGTCTGTGGTGGGCTTCCTATCTGGTATGAGTAGATGGTGGTGACACATCTCCCTAGGAAATGCTTTGTCACAGCAGTCCTGGAGTGTCTAAACAGGAAATCTGACTTATTCTGTAAAAACATCGGATAATGATCCTTTCCTCGAAATCTGCTCTAGGCTGAGGATCTGGCAATCTCCAAAATGCTCAGGTACCTCAAGTGCCTGTACGTTTAGATGACTCTCGCCTACATTCTCACATTATCCTCACAGCTAGCTCTAAGGTGCCGTAAAAGGTAAAAATAAACTTATAAAGCTTTTCCTTTTCCTGATGAGTAGGTCCTCCTAGAAATTGCACAGTTCAGAATCCCTTCATGGGGTCAACTAAAACTGTCTACGGAGACGCCAGTTTCATAAAGATAAAGCAGGAGATGGGGATGAGCTGGGTAGCCCGCCTCACCAGCAGAGCAGCCTGCTTCTGCCACAGGAATTTGTAATGGACTGCACTCAACGAACAGGTTATGCATGGGAGCTTCCTGGCAAGAACATTATTTTATTTGCATGTATGATAATCACCCTTACCTGGACCCTCCACCGGTAACACACAGAATGAAATCTGGTATTAACTTCTCAGGTTGGAATTGATCCTTTGCTGCAGATTCACTCCTCTAGGATAGTAACCCAGAGTCAACATGTGCCCTCCTCCCTCCATTATCACAGACCTCCTTTGTAACACACACACACACACACACACACACGCACGCACGCACGCACGCACGCACACACGGTTATCTATTGCTTGATGTAAATTCTGAGTTTCTAGAAGACTCATTCTCCCAAACCCCATTGTCTTTTGTTCTCACACCCCAGCCCTCGTACCCGTCACCTAGCTAAGGCGCATGTACAACGGGGTCCTATCTTTACGGTCTCTTTTTACTTATTTATGCATTATGATTCACTGTGCTGCATTCTGGCCTGAAATCTGACTATATTGGGAATAAAGCAATACAAAAACCTCTCAGGATTCCGTAGACTCCGAGTCTGCGGAGGGCTTGGTATTTCAAAGGTCAGTCCTGGGTCTCTCCATTTTGATGACTAATGTTAAATTGTTTGACTTTCTACAAAAATATTTGGCTGTGCTTATTTACATAATTGCATCCCCTGGGCACACAGTAGGCACATATTTGTTGCACCGAATCCCCACAGGAATGAGAAGACAGGACGAAGACGCCCAGACCATGACTCTCCTATACAGAGCTGATGAAGAATGGTGGAGTCATCACCTAGTTTGTACTAGGGTCCGTGCATTCCCTTTTCACTCTGAGCTACGCATCTGTAGAGAGAAGGATGAAAGACGCACGGGGAAATCCCAGCACCCCTGAGAACACACCACTATCCTCACCACATACGCAGGCACACACTCTCTTTTAAAGCTAGTGACTTCACAAGAGAGCTGGTTAAGAAGGGTCCCCACCCACTTGCAGCACTCTCCCAGGGAAAAGAGGCTTCAGAGTACCACAGGCTAGACTCACAGCTAACCCTTGGGAGACGCAGTCTAAGACCGACTGTACCAGTCCACGGATACTAAATGACACAATCATTTAAGAGGCTTCTCCCCCACCCATCCTTCCCTCCAACTCTCCCTCCCTTTCTCTTTAGATGGGGTCTGTTGTAACTCAGGCTGGCCTTGAACTCAGGATCCTCCTGGCTCAGTGTTCCTAGTATCCAGCCGTGGAAGGCGTTTGTTTTTTTGTTTGTTTGTTTTGTTATCAATGTTTAACATTAGGCATCAACATTGAAACTTCTTAGACCATCAGAAGTCATTGATCTACATTTTCAAAAAAAAGGCACCACCATGGATGTGACTGGCAAACACATTCTTACACATTTCTGCATTTTCTTAAACTTTATTTATATTAGGCTCCACCCTTACAGTTTCCTTCTAATTACCACAAGCTGGATACCTCTTCTCATTCTCAGACTCTCAAAAATTCCCCCGCAGACGGGCAAAATAAGTAAGAGTTTGAGGGACGTTTCTAGGTTGTCTGGTTTTGTTCCTAAAAGACACCCCCACCCACGACCTCCCCCCCCCCAACCCTGGGGCAAGCAATGGAGTGAAAACACTTCAGAGCTGCCTGGCTTCGGGAAAGTCAAGGCAGGTGCCCTGTCTGTCAAGGTCACCGGTTCCATTGCAGAACTCGTCTGCGACTCCAGCTGGCTCACCAGCCGCCCCTTGCTGCCACCTTCCCGGACCCAGCTCACCTGACCACGTTGGGGTGCTCGAAGGTCTCCAGGTGCCTCAGCACCGCCACCTCGCGGATGGTGGAGAGCGGCATGCCCTCCTCGCCCGTCTGCACTCGCACGCGCTTCAGGGCCACGAAGCGGCCGCCGTTCTTCAGGTCGCGGGCCTTGAACACCTTCCCGTAGGCGCCCTCGCCGATCTCCGCCACGCACTCGTACTGCTGGTCGGCGCGGCTCAGGCCGTCCTTCTCCATGCTGGCTGGACGCTGCCTCCGGTGCGGTGCCGAGGGGTCAAGAGAGTGCGCTCGCTGCCCTGCACGCCTCGGGGACGCCCGGGGTCGCACTCGCCGCCGCCGCCGCCGGGCTGGACAGAGCGACCTCGTCGCCCGCGGGCGAAAGCCGGGCGCAGTCGCCGCCGCCGCCGCGAAACTCCGCCTAGCCGAGCCGCGCCGCCGCCGCCGGAGAGCGCCGATCCCTCCTCTTCCCCCTCGGCGGGCGGCGATTACATAGTCTGCCCACAATCTCTGCACCTAGGAGGAGACGGGAGGACAGGGAGAAGAGCGCGATCAGACAGCCCCCGGAGGCTTCCTTCCACCGGCTTCCACCGGCTCCCCTCCTCCTCCCCTCCGCTCGCCCCGGCCCTCCACCCGGCTGCCCAGTCTTGCCCGGTTTCTCGGAGCAAAGCCCAGTTACTTTTTCTTCCCCGGCAGGGCTCGTGCAGTGGTTCTTCGCGAGGCGAGGTGGCAGGGGGCCCCTCGGGGATGAGCGCCGCGCGGGACGCAGCGGGACGGACGGGAGGGGGCGTGCCGAGCAGCCCAGAGTGTGCCGGGAGCGCGGGGGAGGGGAGGCGGGCGCCGGGCGCGTCAATGTCACGGCTCAATATTTATACCTATACCGTTGTTCTCTCTCGGCCGCCCTCCCCGGACTCCCGGGGCCCGGGCGTGCGTGCAGGGGGGACCCGGGGGGCGTTGGGAAGCTGGTGCGAAAGCGCCTCGGGTTCACACCCGTGTGGGGCCGCAGGATGGGGCTGGGGCTGCTCCCAGGAAACCCTGTAACCCGATGCTACGAGTGTGCGAGGAGGGGTGGTCAGACATCTGCTCGGAAATTGCTTCCTTTCTTTTTCTACTTTCAGTTTTTCTAGCGAGACATTTAAAAGGGACTCGCACACACAAATGGTCGCGGGGGGGGGCACGGCGATCTTAGGGGGAGACAGAACTCTGCCTCCGACTCGGAGGACCTCCCTGGTGGAAAGGCAGGGAGGACAGACCATCTGGTAGGGGAGGGCTGGGGCCACCAGGGGTGGGAGGGCGAGGGGCCCTGGGAGAGGAGAGTCGTGTCGTCCCCCCCCCACCCCAGCCCCGGAGATCCCCAGGGTGTTGGGAAAAGGGGGGGGGGTCCGTCACTTTGGCTCGTCGTGTCCCGAAAGCGTAACTTCGGGACCTTAACTGGTCCTTAAGTTTTCAGCTGACTTCAACCCATGCGCCCGAGCTGAAGCAGCCGCCCTTACGACGGTGGGGGTGGGGGATCGGCATAGGACTCCCGGTGTGAGAGGGGCTGCCCTGGGGTTGCGACTGTTGCAGAGCCTCGCCCGCCCGGTGTCCTGAGCGTGGAGGTCGCTCGGCTCCCCAGCGGCAGGAGGCCGGGTCCCACGCGCGGTCGGGCGTCCCCACCCCATTCAGTTGTTAGGGATGACCGAGCGAGCCTTCGTGTCCCACGGCGGCCTCAGCCTGGGCTGGACCTTGGCCCACGACAGCTGCGTGTCCGGAACCCTCGGGGCGCGTCTACCTGCCCCGCACCCCTGCTCGCCCGCGTGCCAGGAATTAAAGAACACATGGCGCGACCCCCACTGGGTGCGGGCGGAGCACGGCGCGGGCAGGGCAGGGACTCTGCGGGTTCCCTTGAGAGCTTTCCTGAAAAGCTGCGGAAAGGACCCCCCAGACCTCGCCCGGGGGTCCGCGCCAGGTCGAGGGCCACACAGGTAGCGGGAGCCGCGGCCTCGGCGGCCGCCCACCCCCTCCGGCCGCGTCCAGCCCGGGCTCCCGGAGGCGGCAGCCGTCCCACCCCCGCAGGCCTGCACCCCCCGGGGCCGGAGCGGCGGTGCCTAGCCCCGTCCCCTCCTCCACTTTTTTGTTGTTGTTGTTGCTTTCCCATGCTGGCTGAATGTGACTTGACCCCATTTCAAAAAAAGTTTGACATTAGTGCTTCAACATTTCCGCATTCCTCCGCGACTACAAAGGCTGCAGCCGCCTCCTTCTGCTTTCTGTCTCTGCTCTCTGTCTTCACACTCAATGAAATCCTTCATGAGCCTCTCCCGAAAGCCCTGCCAAACGCCGCCAGGGTCGCCACCAGCGCGGCGAGGGGGACGCCCGCCCCCGCGGGACCGCGACTCGCGCGTGTGCGCATACGCAGATGCGCCCGCGCACATACGCCCACGTGCACCGGGGACGAGTGCGCCGCCGAGCCCCCGGCTGCCCTGGGCCCGGGTGTGTGTGTGCGCGCGCTTTGAACTGCAAAACTTTCAGTAGGAAAAGGAAACTTGGGGCGTGAAGCGAGCATGAGTGCTCGCGGGGGGCTTCGACCCCGGTGGGCTGCGCGCACTCCTCGGTGCGTAACACGCCCGCCGGGATCGCCAGCAGGAAGCCTGCGTGAAACGTTTTATTCCTTGGTGGGGAGGATGGAACCCGTACCCACACCTTTTGGGAGGCTATGGAGGGAACTTGCCCCGGCGGGGGTGGGGGGATAAAAACGTGGGGCGCGCGGAAACACACTCTCCACCACGGAATCCCACCCAGACGGTGCGATTTCGAGCTTCGGTGCGACTGTCCGTTTGGAGAAGTTCCACGAGAACCGGACGCTATGGGGGTGTTTGCGCGCACCAGTCTTCAAGCTGGCACGGGACCCCGGTTGTCGGGGTGTCCCCGGTGTGGGAGGTCCCTCTGGAGACCTCTAGCTCCTCCAGCTGACCCCCATAACGTATCCAGTCTCGGCTGCTAAAGGGTTAAACCCACATGGATTCCGAGGGGCTACACAGCTCCCCACCCACCCACGCACCCACGTCCTGGCCGGGGTCCCCAGCCCTCCAGCCCACCCACGCGAGCCCGGGGCTCCTTACCTGCGGGCCAGGGGCGCGGGCCTCCGGCGAAGCTGGGGTGTCGGCCGGCCCCCCCGCACGTGCTCACCGCGCGGAGCAGGTAACTGAGTGCGGCCGGCCGGGGCGAGCAGCGCTCTGCGGGCAGGGGGTGGGCACAGCGGCGGAGAGCGGAGGGACGGGCGGCGGAGGGAGGGCGCCGCCCGCCCGCGGGGAGGCTCGGGTCTCCGGCCGCGATTGGGGGCCCGAGGCCGGGAGGCTGCGCGGCGGGGCGGGGACCTCGCTGCGAGCCTCGGGGTCTCGGACCCACCCGGCGGCGGGCGGGCGAGTGTGCAAATTAAAGCCTTCCGGAGCAAAGGAGCGAGGCCCTGCCCGGGCTGTGCTCCCCAGCAACGATCGGCTCGGGGAACGGGGGGCCCGGAGGGCGGGGGAGAGTTAAATGAAAATTTCCGGTTCTCACTGCAACCACTCGAGTGGCGGGCGGTGGGGGGGCGGGCGGGGGGAATCTCGCAAACTGAAATAAACTTTGTGAGACGAACCGGGTGGGATGCATCGCCGGGAGTCGGCAAGGGTTTCCACACCCAAGGTCCCCCAGAGTTGATGTTTTGACAGGGTGAGGCAGAGGCATCAGTCGGATGAGAAAGGATGAGAAAAACACAAAACAGCAGTAATTATGAGGGGACCCTGGGGTGGTAGACAGCAGCACTTTCCTACACGCGAAAGTCGGGAGAAGCTTGGCAGAATGCCGTACAGAAAAGAAAATACTAATCTGTCCAAGCACTTTTCACTTTCTGCATGAGCTACATTTGTTTTGTTTTCTTTCACTTCCTTTCGGCCTCAAAAAAAAAATAATAAAAAATAAAAAATAAAAAGCCCTATCTTTTCCTTTTGGACAGAGGCTGTGGTCTGGAAATTGCCAGGCACTCTTGTTAACGATCTACTTGAAGGGGCTGGCGGGGTCACAATTATTAAGTGGTTAGAAACTGTTGAGGGTTGACTAAGGTATTTCAGGAGAGCCAAAGATTCAGTTTCAGTATAGTATAAATAACAACTGCAAAATAATAGGCACGCGCACACATAAAGAGGAGTGCTTAATTTAAATGCCTTTTGAAATTTGAAACTTTGTCAGAATGTCTCCTTTACCTGAGAAAAATTGGATGCAGTACTTCAGGTAAAAATGAGATTTTGGAGAAGCGGGGTCTTCAAAACTTTCTACAAGGATTAAAAGGAAGAATCATAGCTGTCTTTGGAAATAATTCGATGTTTTCCAAATTCTGTATCTGTAGAAGACTTGAAACTTTGAAATATCTCAAGGAGAGAGAAGGGGGGAGGGGAATTTTTGTACATTGTAGAAAAATGAAAACCAAAATTCTGTTTAAATTGTAAATATTACTTGTATGAATGTTTTGCTTTTTTACTCATGTTACTAATTTCATAATTGTTTTTTTTTTTGCCTTTAGAAAATTAATTCTGTTACAATGTGAAGCAAGGCTAAAGGAATAAAAGTTGCTGGGGAAAACTGCAGTTTGCAGATGCATTGTAATAATTTTTCTTAAATAATAAAAATGAGCAATGTTGTGCCTTTAAACTTAACTCATAAAGCACATTTTGTGTTTGAGTACATCTTCTAAGATAAAACCCAGTTTCTGAGCAATTCTTGTTTGTAATTTTAAATATATCATATACTCAAAGTAAATTATTAGATAATTTATGCAAATATTGAATCACTACCAATCACTGGATTCTGAGCTGAAGCCATCCATTTTAATGACTGCTAACACTTCTCAGTGCTGGTGATTAATATGCTTATCTTATCTAAAAATAATGGTCAATAATTAGCTGCAGGAACAAGCCCATGGTGTCATGAACATATTTAAGTAAATAATTTGTTTAAAAATAGTGTCATGAATATGTTTAAGTAAATAATTGGTTCAAAATACTAAGTGGTAAGTGTCTTTGCAGAAAAGTGTTTATTCTAGGCTGGGTAGTATTTTTAATTATGACATTTGAAAACAACTGTTACTAACTAGATTAGAAATGTCATGATTAAGGTTACAAGATCACTTGGGCAATTTAAAAACAAACCCCCAAACCAATGGAACTCTTAACTTACCAGGTTGTAACTCACTTGGCATCCTTTTTTTTCCTGCTATAACTTATATATTGTGTTAATTTAGCATTATGCACTCTGCATGGTTATAGTTCATATTAAGTACCAACTGATTAAAAGTTAAAACCCAAAGAAGAGTCACAACGGCTTGCATTGAAGTAATGCAATAGAAGGTTTTTGTTTATGAATAACTTCCTCTGTGGGTAGCAGGCTATCATAACAACATTTGTGCAAAGTTTACAA